TTGACATAGTGGCGGCAACAATGTGTTAAAACATAATGATGGCAAGGATGGTGCAGTATTTTGTTCTGTTGTGTACAGGGTCACTAATGGTCGGAACCAACACGACAGCAGCTAACAACACCATCTTCTGGGTTTGGTATGATAGATAAGTTAATACAGAGGTTCTCATATTTGACCATGCCAAATAATCCCATGGAGGGCTTGTTAAAACACTTTCCTGGATCCCAGATGCAGAGATTATGATTTAGCAAATTGGGACCATCCATAATTTGCATACTTCATTTTAAGAACTACTGAGTTAATACATGTAAACATCTCAGCATAGTACCTGGCACATAATAAGCACTCAATAAATAGAGCTATGTATTTGCTATTTCAGAGTTAAAATATGAAAATGTACTTATTTGATATGTAGACTGCTTACAGATTTTTTTTTAATATAAGTATTTTATTATTATTTATTTATCTGTTATTTTCTGCTTTCCACCAATTTCCATCTGGTAACAGCAATGAAATCCCTCATTCTACATCCTCTTCTGAATCCAGCTTGAATTTCTGGAAGTTCCCTGTAAACGTTATATCATATAAAATTTGAATTAAATAAATTACGTTAAAAACAAATTCAATAAACAATAGTAACTTACTAATTCCTACGCATTTTACTAATTTTTATTATCATTATTATTATTATTATTATTATTATTATTGTGAACTGAGTGATAGTTTACGTGGAAGAACATCAGCTTTACACCATTGTTTCACTGCAATGATTATAATCTTCTCTGTGCATCATCATTCAACAGTATTTGCTTCCATTCCCTCGGTTTTTCTTTCTTTTTTGTGGGGGTGGTGATGGTGGGGAGATGTACACAAAAACACTCAGGAATATATAATTTAAACAACCAAAGGGCACATTATGCAAACCGGCCTCCTGGCCACCAGCACTCAGTCCCTCTCTTTCCATGAATCTAGAGTCCTCAGGTGCTCCCTCTCTCCATGTCCTCATATCTGCCCCCATCTCTGGTGTCACTGCTTCTCTGGATGTTGCTGTTAAGTGCCGTTGAGTCGATTCCGACCTATAGGGACCCTGTATGTATAGGGTTTCTGAGGAGCAGCTGGTGAGCTTAAACTGCTAACCTTGCAGTGCATTAACCCACAGCGCCACACCTGGAGTCTCTGGATAGGGTCCTGCATTCTGCTTGTGCTCTTCGCCCTCAATGGTCCTAGGGACCTCTGTTTCTGGACTGTAAGATTAACAACTCCCCTGATTTTATTACAAAACTTCTACTTTTACCATTGTGACAGTTGCAATTACGCATAATAATGCTTATATATTTTAAAATAAAACTTTTATTGAGAGAGGGAGAGTTTCCATGGCATAATATTCCGGGTAAAAAATGATGGAGGCAAGGGAAGACACTGGAAAAAGTATAAGAGTTAAAGGCAACAAAAGCAAATGCTGTTATATACACAATCCTGCAATAATGATGATCTCTGAGTAGATGCTTGCATAGACAGGCAGGCTGAGTGGGTATGGAAGGGAGAGTGGGAATATATCCAGAAATATATATATATACAGGTTTGACAGTATATTTGTACATGGGTACCTTTTCTGCAAATATATTCATGAATATGGTTGAACATACAGGGGCACAACGTTATGAAAACTCTTAGATATAAACATACACCTTGAGGGAATGAGTCTCACAACACTTCTGGTCTTCAGTCATTTGTGTCTAATGCATAAAGTCTCTTCTTGAGATGATCTCTAAATACAGGTGGAATATGTTCAAGGTCAAATTTTGGCTTTTGTTAACTTGTATTCATTTTCTCCAGCTTCAGCCTAAACTTGCATATAAGCAATTGATGGTCTGTTCCACAGTCTGCCCCTGACCTGGTTTTGGCTGATGATATGAAGCTTTTCTACTGTCTCTTCCTACAGATGTAGTCAATTTGATATCTATGTATTACATCTAGTGAGGTCCATGTGTACAGTCATCCTTTATCTTGTTTAAAAAGGTATTTGCAACGAATAAGTCATTGGTTTTGAAAAATTTTATCGTGTGATCTCCAGCATCTTTTCATTCACCAAGGTCATATTTTCTAACTACTGATCCTTCCTCTTTGTTTCCAATCTTGCATTCCAATTGCCAGTGATTATCAAAACATCTTGATTACATGTTTGATCAATTTCAGACAGAAGACTTTGGTAGAATTCTTCAATCTCATTATCATTGGCTGTAGTGGCTGGTACATAAATTTTGAATATTAGGGAGGCACTGTGGATTAATGTGCTGGACTGCAAGGTCAATTTGAACTGGAAGGTCAATGGTTCAAGCTCACCAGCTGCTCCTTGGAAACCCTGTACAGAGTAGCTATGAGTAGAAATAGACTCCACAGCAATTAGCAAACACAATCGATCGTCATACATTACATGTTATAATTATTAATGGGTGTTTGCTGTTGTTTCTCCTCACTTTGAAATGTGGCCCATCAGCAAATGAAGGTCACCAAAGCTTTAATCCATTAGCATCAATGCGATCAACTCTACTTTGAGGAATCAGCTCTTCCCCACTCATATTTTGAGTGTCTTCCAACCTGAGGGACTCATCTTCAGGTACTATATCTGACAATATTCTGGTGCTATTCATCAATATTAAATATTCTGGGGCTATCTGACAGTGTTCCATTGCTATTCATAAACGTTTCAGTGGCTAAACATTCAGAAACAGTCCACCTTTCCTCCTTCCTAGTCTGTACTATTCTGGAAACTCAGCTGAAACCTGTTCACCATGGGTGTACAATGCTAGCATTTATAATACCAGTGGCATAGCTTCTAGCATCACAGCAACAGGCAAACCACCACAGTATGACAAACCAGGAGATGAGTGGTGGTATTGTCAGGTGTCACTGAGTCAGCATCGACTCATAGCAACCCTATGCACAACAGAAGGAAACACTGACAGGTCCTACAACAACCTCACAATCGTTGCTAAGCCTGAGCCCATTGCTGCTGCCACTATGGTAATCCATCTCACTGGGGGTCTTCCTCATTTCCTTTGAACCTTCACTTTCCCAAACATGATATCCTTCTCCAGGGACTGGTCCCTCCTGGTAATATGTCTGAAATAGGAGAGACAAAGTCTGGCCATCCTGGTTTCCAAGGAGCATTCTGGCTGTACTTCTTTCAACATAGGTTCGTTTTGTTCTTTAGGCAGTCCATGGTACTTTTAATAATTTCCTTCAACACCTTAACTCAAATGCATCAATTCTATGGTCTTCCTTATTCACTGTCCAACTTTCACATGCACGTGAGGTTATTGAAAATACCATGTCTTGGATCCAGCACACCTTAATCCTCAAACTGACATCTTTGCTCTGCAACACTTTTAAAAAGTCTTGTGCAGCAAATTTACTGCACAATACATCGTGCAATACATCGTTTGATTTCTTGACTGCTGCTTCCATGAACACTGATGGTTGATCTGAGCAAAATGAAGTCTTGGACAATTTCAATCTTCTCTCCATTTATATGGAGGTTGTTTATTGGTCCAGTGGTGAGGATTTTTGTTTTCTTTACATTGAGATGCAACCCATACGGAAGGCTGTGAACGTTGATATTCATGAGTGAGTATTTTAAGTCTTCTTTGCTTTCAGCAAGCAAGGTTGTATCACCTGCATATCGCAAGTTCTTAATGAGTCTTTCTCCAATCCTGATGCCACATTTTTCTTCATATAATTCAGTTTTTCGAATTATTTGCTCCACATACAGATTGAATAAGTATGGTGTGTGTAGTATTTCACCATGCCATGTGAACTTCCAGAATCACAGCAACACGCAAGCCCACAGTACACAAACTAACAAATGAGTGGTGGAGTGGTTGTACCTACCTATGTGTTATATACATATTGTGGCACATGAAGCCTTTCAGTGTTTATTTAAGGGCAAAAACAGGGATCAATCTAACTTACTACATCAGGCTGTAAATTCACGTATTTTGAAGTACACAGAGAAGTAGAGGTGTGGCATAGTGAAATGTGTACACACAGTAAAGGTTTGAACCAAGTTCTGCTGTGGACCTGTGTGACCACAGGTAAGTCATGTAAGTCTTAACTGGTTTTCTCATTTGTAACACTTCGAAGTTTCCATACTGGCAGGAGTGTTGGCAGGGTACATTTAGGGGCTTTCCCTTTGAGCACAGTGAGGGAGGCTGTCCCCGCGGTCAGTTTTTAAAAGCTAGTTCTGAATTTCTCTGGCTCAACTACCTTATTTATAGAAGGCGCACGGAGCTGACTGACTTCGTCATGGTCACATAAGAGTACTGTCAGAGACGATCCCAGGGCTAGGGGGCCCGTGATGATTGTCTCGCAGCTCACGTTCAAGGAGCACAGCCCGCAATGGCGGCCGGCTCCTCAGCATCGCCTCCACAAACGTCAGTCGAAGCCCGCCATCTACCGGGTAGGTCAGGCAATGCAAACAAGGCAAGGAGGGAAAAGCTTCTGGGATCTGCAACATCCGGAATTTAATAGGCTCTCAATTAGCTCACCTAACTCCTTTTCCATTGGACTATTCCAACTGTCAATCAGTCATTTATCACGTGTTTATTGGCTTATCTTCAATCAGTCGGCTCAATCGACTAATCACATGCTTCTTTCCAAAAACAGCTTTACGTCATCAGGTGAGGCTGACGAGTTTAGCCCGTTCCTATTGGTTGGATTCTGCCCTTTTTCTCCTTCATCCTGTTCGTGGCGGAAATGAGTGAGCCCCTATTCCTATTGGCTTACGTTTGCAGCTTGTTAAGTGCCGTTGTGTCGGTTCCGACTCGTAGGGTTTCTGAGAAGCGGCTGGTGGGTTTGAACCGCCGACCTTGAGGCTCAAAGCAGCCTCCTTACAGTCCAGTCCATTGCTTATCCTACAGCGCCACAGGACGTCAGGTGTGCAGATAGTGGTTCTCCATCAATTAAGTAAGCAAGTGTCACTCCGGAAGTACGGTACCGGAAGAGGCGGGGTTTGCGAAGATGGCGGCGCGGGTATGTATCGTGTGGTATCTTCCTCGGGTTGCCATTGTGGACGTTTTCTTTCACCTTAGCTGCTCGAGGCATCGCGGAACCGACTGTTGCCGGGAGTGAAGGGTGGTGATGAAGAGAAGGGCGGCCTCCGTGGACCAGTGGGGCAAAAGCAGCAGTATGAAGGCTTGGGGCTGGAGTTCCCTCTCCACTCCTGAGGGGCAAACCCGCTTTTATGCTAGGTCGAGCTTGCATCGGAGGGAAAGAGCTAGAAGTCTGGGTTGTGTGAGAGTATTTCCCACCCCCCCAGAGTTCCGTTTTCTGATAATCTTACAGCAAGATTGATGTTTCTTTACCCTCCCCCCTCCTTGCCCTACTGTAGGATGTGCTAGAGTCAGACCTGCCAAATGCCGTGACACTTTTGAAAAACCTCCAGGAGCAGGTGAGTAGCGTCTTAGGGCTAGAATAGGCACTTACGGGTTGTTTCTGTGGGCCCCACCCTCAAACTCTAGTTATTTGTGGGACAGATATTTGAATGCTAGCAAAAACCGTAAGAGTGAAAAATGTTTTCAGACTAGATTCCAAAGTAATTGATTTCTGCATCCGAAGGAACGCTTGGACACTTTAAAAGAACCCCCCAGAAATCATAATAATCCATTTTTTTTGTTTTTGTGACTAAAGAACGGATGGACAAAGTGACACGTTTTGCCGTTTGAGTGACCATTTAATTAGTATATTTGTAATGTGGCGTTGTAAGTTAATGCGCCAGACTGCAAAGCTGTTTGAAATGCAAGGTCCGTGGTTCAAGCTCTCGAGCTGCTCCTCAGAAGCCCTATACAGGGTCCCTATGGGTCGGAATCAACTCTATGCCACTTAACAACAACAAATATACATATATTTGTAAGTTCAACCAGTACAGATAAATTTACAGTCCCAGTCCCCTCCCAGCCCCCATGACCCTGGTCTCCATTCCCTTCCCAAAGTTTGGTAAAGATGATCTCTTCTTTATCTTGAAGATTTTTCTCTGTAAGGTGAAGACCATACCTCCTTTCTTGTTGTGAAGTGCTGTCAAGTTGGTTCTGACCCATAGCGACCCTGTATAGGGTTTCCAAGAAACAGCTGGTGGGTTTGCACAGCTCACCTTGTGGTTCCAACTGACCTTTCAGTCCAGCGTATTATCATCTCCAACAGGGAGCCTCAGTATCCCATAACTGAGAAGATGGTAATATTGTAGTATTTTAGGTATTTTTTGGTGGCACTGTAAAACTTCTGCCCCTTAGCTTCCAACACACTGTTTTCTACAAATACAACTTGTATTTGGCCTCATATCAGGTGATGGCTGTAACGGCACAAGTGCAAGCTCTGACAAAAAAAGTTCAAGCTGGAGCTTTTCCTACAGAGAAGGTAAGACATATTTGAAGTGTAAGTATCACATAATTTGATGTTTTTGCTAGATCTTTCATTGTAGATGTAGAGTCTAGTAGGAAGCCAGATAGATGCAATAGTGGTCATGTTGCAGGATTATAGCAGGTGCTGTAAGAGTTGAGGAGCGTGATTAACTGCTACAAGAGCTGAGTGAGTAAGGAAAGACTTCTCGGAGGAGATGACACAATTTTGAAGAATAAATAGGAATCAGGGAGAGAAAGAAGCAACACAGACAAAGGCCTGAAAACGTGAAATTCTGGGAAAGGAATTTAGTCATTTAATGTGGTTGGATTGTACATTTTGCATGTGTGGGGTGGTAGGAAATATCTGGATAAGTAGTCATTCTGTGAAGAGCCTTGTAGGCCAACTGAGGAGTTACTGTGATAGTTCATCAAATCTAAGATGCCATTGTTTGTTTGTTATTCTGTGGTGTTTAATGTGTTGCTGTCATGCCAAAAGCTATTCCACTAGCACCTCAAACATCAGCAAGGTCTCACAGGATGGACAGGTGGCATTGGCACTTCCAGATTAAAACAGACTAAGAAGAAAGGTCTGACAATTTCTGAAAATTAGCCAATGAAAACCCTATGATTCACAGTATTGTTTGATTTAGTGCTAGAAGATGAGCTCTCTAGGTGGGAAGGTCGCAATAATGGACTAAGATATACCAATGGTTATGAAGATGGCACAGGCACTGTTTTGTTCTGTTATACATAAGGTTACAAGGAGTCAGTGCCATCTTGTCTTGCTGCTCTCAACAGTAACAAGAGGGTGCTATTAACTGCAGATGTATCACTTGTTTTTGTACAAAGCAAAAATGATGTCTATCAATCTATGATATAATACCATTGGTTGAAAGATGTGTTCAGATTTTGTGTTATGAAGTGCTATGAAGTCAGTTCTGACACATAGCGATCCTGTATAGGGTTTCCAAGGAGTAGCTGGTGGGTTTGAACCACTGACCTTGTGGTTAGCAGTCCAGTGCTTATCCTACAGCACCACACCAAGAATCTGTTTTCAGATTTTAGAGATGTTAAAATATGAAAATGGTGTGCATCTTAGAATTGAAATATAGTAGTTGTCAAGTTGCAGTCTTGTAGAATGTTCTCGGGAATCATTATGGAAAGAAGACTGGATACCTAACCCCTAATCTCTGCTTGGATTGGAAAAATTCTGGTGTTATCTTTTTAATATGAGAGCAAATAAAAAATGTATCCTTATTCCTATTAGGATTCAAGTTCATATATGGATGGGTTTATTCCAAATAAAGCATGTTTAGATGTTTCTGAGATCAGTAGATGTCTTCAGACAAGTTCTCTTAATAATAAGCTTCTCTTGGTCTCGTTGTTAAGTGCCATCAAGTTGGTTCCAACTCATAGCAACTCTGTATAGGGTTTCTAAGGAGGGGCTCATGGTTTGAACTGCCAACCTTGTGGTTAGTTGTTGTTGTTGTTGTTAAGTGCCATCGAGTCGGGTCCGACCCATAGCGACCCTGTACAGGGTTTCCGAGGGTTAGTAGTCACATGCTTATTGTATAGAGCCGCACCAGGACTTACTAGAGTGCCTTCAAAAAATGATCTAATCAAAGCAGGGGCTTCCGAGGGATCTGTTGGGCCAGTTAATTTTGAGACATAGAGGTCAGCTTAGAAGGTTATGGCAGCTGTATTTTGGGATCCTAAAGGGGTAGTCTTGATAGCTTTTCTCAAGGCACAGAATGATCACAGAGGCTTAAGTTTTTTAAGAAAACTGAAAAGTATACAAAGACTTTCATTATTATATCATTCCTGAACATTCTTTGAGGGGAGCAAGGGGTGCCCTATGAAAATTTTGTTGGGAAACCATACCGCATTCACCCTTCAGCCCCTGATCTTGCCCCTTCAGACTTCTTTTTGTTCCCCAAACTCAAAAAGGAACACAGTTTGAATCCCTAGAGAATACCCTAACTGCCATTTTGACGTGTAAATCGAGAAATGCAGACTGTTTCAGGAATAGGTTAGAGGGATGGAAGCACGACCTTCAGAAGTGATAAACCTAGATGAGAAACAAAAGCTTTGCATTTTGATATTTTGATAAAGATGGTTGTGTTTTTGCATCAATACATTTTGGCTTACCCTCATATATTGAGCTTTTGTCCCAAGATACTTAAATAGAACAAGCCAAATCAGTGTGCTAGGTTAATATGAATCAGTGGGAGAATTATACTTTAAAAAGATTGCTGCATGTTTAACATTTTATTTTTTCTCTTCATGCACTTTATTAACATATTTAAATACATTTTATTGATATTTTTATCTTTTTCATATGTTTGAAACCTACTTTGAACTTAAAATAATTAAACATGGCAGAACAGCCTTCTCAAATTCTTAACTCTCTTTGTTCTGGGTACCATGCTTTGATCCACTTCAGTACCTTTGTTTAGATGAACTGCTAGTGTGCATCTTATTACTACGTGTTGTTGTCAAGTGCCATCAAGTCAGTTCCAACTCACAGCGACCCTGTATAGGATTTCCAAGGAGCAGCTGGTGAGTTTGAATCGGTGACCTTGTGGTTCAAACGACCTTGCCGTCCAGTGCTTATCCTACAGTGCCACACCAGGACTCCATATTACTACATATTAGTTTGTTAATTTCATGGCCAAAGACATTTATAGGTACTTTGTTGTTATTTGATATATAGTCTATTCTGACTCAGCAACCCCATGTGCACAAAGTAGAATTTCTATGGCCTTTCAAGAAGCATATCTCTAAGTCTGTCTTCCAAGGCACCTTTTGATTCATAGTCAAGTGCTTAGCTGTTTGCACCACCCAGGAATTATTTCTTGATGCTTTGTAGCCTAAAAAGTGCATTTATTTTATGTCTTTGACTCTCATAATTACTCATTGACTCAAGAAGGAAATGCTATTTATATTTTACAGATGAGGAAATTGAAGTCACATAATTAAGTGACTTAACCAGTATTTGACTACTAAATGCCTAATTCAAAACTTAAACCTAAGTTATTTGACTTTAATTCTTTTGCTCATTCTCTTATACCACACTAGTGCTGATCTCAAAGCTTAGAGTGTTGGTTTAAAAAATACCTAAAGTTTTGTGTTGGAGTCAGATGGAATTTGAGTCCCAGCTCTGCACCTGTCGTTGTAATATTGGGCAAAGTATGAGGGGGCTTCAAAAAGTTCATGGAAAAATAGAATTAAAAGATAACTGTGAATTTCTTCCATGAGCTTTTTGAAACTGTCTCATATTTAATCTGGCTGAAATAGGTCTTTCCAAGGCTGTGGATGTTATTAGTAACTCAGTGCCCACAAATGATGTCAATTTAAAAAAAATAAGACTTGTATAATATTTGTTTAATTTTGGGGGGCCTGTAAGTGTAATACTTTTGGAAACTTTAGAAACACATAAAAACACAAAGAAGAAAATTTTAAATCAGTTTTAATCATCACTCCAGATTGACACTGGGTACAGTTTTTGGAGAGGTTTTTATTATAAAAGTAATATATGTCAGACGTAAAAAATTTTTTTGAAAATCAGTATAGGCACTCATTCTTTCCTTTCCTCATCTCACTTTCCAGAGACAACAGCTGTAAATTGAGTGCTATCTTCCAGATATTTTTTTTGCATATAAAAATGTGTTCATATTACATTCCCCACTATAATTGAGACCATGTAATGCACACTTTCTGCAATTTGCACTGACATGGATTTAATTCCATGTCAGTACATACTGATAGTTGTTTTTACTTGTATTTACAATTCCACTGTATGGGGATAAAGCCAGTAATTAGTTGTTTTGATTATATTAGTTTAAAGGTGCGCAGTATCTGGAAACATTTTTGGTTGTCACAACTGGGGGATCAGCTAGTGGTGGATAGAGGCCAAGGGTGCTGCTGAACATCCTATAATGCCCAGAACAACCTCCCACAACAAAGAATTATCTGGCCACAAATGTCATTAGCTCTGATGCTGATTTTATTGGTTTTTCTGCCCTGGTTGTCTTCCAGTAAATCTCAGTGCTGTGCTTAATGTTAACATAACTTTCTGTTGGCATCTTATATACAGCTTCTTTCTTGAGACTACTTTGGGTACCTTGTGTGAACCAAATGGAGAAATCTTGAACTTGGGAAAAAAAGACATCATATACCCCATTTTTTCCTCCAGAATCTCTCCAAAATTGGATCTATGTTTCTCTTATGTTCACCTCAGGGTCTCAGCTTTTTGGAAGTGAAAGACCAGTTGCTGCTCATGTACCTTATGGATTTGAGCCATCTCATCCTAGACAAAGCCTCAGGAGGGTCTCTTCAGGGACATGCTGCAGTTTTGAGACTGATAGAGATTCGCACGGTATGAAGCATTTAGCATCTTGGAGTTCCAAGTTTCAGAATCCTGAGCTACGGTATTGCCACACAATAACGCTCATTTTAAATGGATGTTCTCATGGTTAAGTGAGGAAACCAAATGAAAAGAGTGCTTTTGTCTTTGTATGCTTTACTTTGTTCATATTTTAGCTGTTTTATATAACATATGAATATAGGTACCTTGGTGTGTGATTAATTTTGGGAAGGGAATGTAATCCTATTTTATGACTGTCTTACAGGTTTTAGAAAAGATTCGTCCCTTGGACCAGAAACTGAAATATCAAATTGACAAATTGGTCAAGACTGCAGTGACAGGCAGCCTTAGTAAGTGGGGGAAGCTACAAGCTATAAAGTAGAAACCATCAGAGAGTTCAAAACCTTATCAAACCTGGGTTTTTTATTTCAGGTGAGAATGACCCACTTCGCTTTAAGCCTCATCCTGCCAATATGATGAGCAAGGTAAGGGATTGTATTATGCTCTGGATTTCCACGAAGACTTGAAACCCAGAAACCCAAATGAGCCTCAGAGTGACCCAGGATCTCCTGGGGTTCTTGTATTGCTGTTGATTCTCAGTGTGCCTCTTACAGTGGTTGAGTGTGAGATTCCCTTTGCTCTCTCTGTTATGTCCCCACTTTTCCAGGATACCTTACCTGTGTTTTTTCTTCTTTGCCTTAAAAATACTTCTTATATTTGAGGACATTGTGGTTTTTTTTTGTAGTTGAGCTCAGAGGATGAGGAGGAAGATGAAGCAGAGGAAGGCCAGTCTGAGGTCTCAGGGAAAAAGTCTGTAAAAGGAGCATCTAAGAAATACGTTCCACCACGCTTGGTTCCAGTACATTATGGTATAAACTGGCTACTGCCTCCTCAGCATTAATGGTTTCTCCTCTTTTCTCTGTTTTGGGATAACTGCTGCTGGTTTTTATCATGTAGATGAAACAGAAGCTGAACGAGAGAAGAAGCGTCTTGAACGAGCCAAGAAACGGGCATTGAGCAGCTCTGTCATTCGGGAACTAAAGGAGCAGTACTCTGATGCTCCAGAGGAAATCCGTGATGCTCGGCATCCTCATATCACACGCCAGAGTCAGGAGGATCAACACAGGTCTGAATCCTATTTCTAGACTGTGGAGACCTGTCCTTGTGCTTTGGATGAGTATAGTTAAGTCTAACACCAAGAGAACAACCACTCATATAGGAAGTGTTGTAGAAAACTTGGGATGATAGTTTTTAAGAATTTAGGGCTTTGAAAGTACAGAATGGTAATTAGAAAAACTATCTTTGATTTTGCTTTTTCAACTGTTTAGACTGAGGTGCTACCATCTGAAGTAAATTATATATAAAAAATATATAGTTTCCCTAGAAGGGTTTCAAAATTCTGTACTTCACTGTCATAAGTTTCACTTTTGTGGAGAAGGCAGTAAAGGCAGGTTTTTAGAACAGCTTTGAAAGTGCTAGATAAGTTCATGAAGAAAAGTAGAACAGCAGTTGTAACTTGAATACAGACTCATCAACTTTGTTCACATAGCAATTTCTACAGTTGATAGATTTAGTTAAAAGGGCACATTTAGGTAATCCTGTGTTACAGAGCTGAAGTATAAGAATTTCCTGATAATAATATTTTTTAAATTTCCTTTGGATGAACTATGAGTTCATCTCTAAGAAGGAAGGATGTCCTAGCATAGAATATTTCATTGAGGAAGCATGGTGCTGAGTACTGTGTATGTTCTTAATAAGTAATCTGTTAACATGCTATGATATTTTTTGGAAAGTATCTGAACAGGGGTAAGTACCTGGGCCCAAATTCTTGGCTTTGGTTTTGTGTCTTCGTCATCTGACCCTGCTGGAAACATTGTCTTCCTCTGGCAGGATTAATTATGAGGAGAGCATGATGGTACGTCTAAGTGTCAGTAAGCGAGAGAAAGGGCGACGAAAACGAGCAGATATCATGAGCTCACAACTTCACTCCCTGACGCACTTCAGTGACATCAGTGCTTTGACAGGAGGAACCCCTCATCTTGATGAGGTGAGATTGAGATATAGGGTGGAAGGGGACCTTCATTCCCTCAATCACACATAATGTGAGTCTTGTTGGATTGAGGAACTTGGGAAGCGATGATGATACTTAGAAGTGCACTGCCATTCCTCCCCTTCTCCATTTGTCTTCAGGACCAGAATCCTGTTAAGAAACGGAAGAAGGTGTCTAAGAAAGGCCGGAAGAAAAGAGGTCAGTGAAAGGCTAGAACTTAGGAGATCAAGTGTAGAGTGAGATGCCAACTCACTAGATATGTCAGCCTGGGTCCACCAATCTCTACGGTATCTTCTATAGTGGACACAAGTCTTTTTAGATGGGCTTTTTAAATTCTTTGCAAAACTGGAAATTAGCATCAATCACAAAAGGGATGTCTGGATCCCATTTCTAAGTTCCCACAGCTCCTGTTTAGGTGTCCCTGAATAGAGCTAGAAAGTGTCACTTAAAGGAACTATTATCCCATTTCATTTTGATTCCTACTTCTTACCTTTAGTCTTGGGAGGATGTAAAGAGTACCACCCAGGGGACCCACTCCTGCTGATCCCATCTCTCCAGATGGCCTTTTATTCCCCCTGTCCCTTCAGCTTTTTCACCTGTCCTTTGCCTTATTCTTGGTTTCCCTTCCTTTCAGGTTTTCGGAGGAGGCGATGATTATGGGTGTACATATTTATATATTTTTGTCATCCTGGGAGACTTCTAATTTCACTGTATGTAGATTTTTGTTTTTGGAATTCGTTGATTATTTGGCCATGTGGAAAGATCTTGATTAATAAAATTGATCTTACTTACTAATTAAAGCCCCCTTCACACATGTTTTGAATGAATGGATTCGTTGGGTGTGGGACACTTTCAGTGAAAGGGAGAGATGAGATTTTCTTGCAATTGAGAAAAGGTTGGTTTTATATATTTACTTCCTTGAGAGAATATATTTTCCCAGAACCTAAAAATTGGTTATCTTATAAAAATATTGAGAGATTGGAGTAGTATAATCAACTCTTCCAACCCATGTTTCCCCAACTTCCTATATGATTTGTTATTGTCTTAATATATGAACTATATAGATTTTAAGCTTCATTTTGTCTAATTTAGCTAGGGCTGCTATAACAGAAATATATGCTATAACAAGTAGATGGCTCTAACAAACATTTTTCTCACAGTTGAGGAGGCTAGAAGTCTGAATTCATGGTGAAAGCATTCTCTTGTCGTCTCTGGAGGAAAATCTTTCTTTGTTTCTTCTGCTTCCTAGTTGCTTAGAGATCTCCT